TGCTTACTACAACAGAGATTCATGTTACCATGTGTATTCAATTCAAATGTTTTTTGGAAACCGATTCAGCTCAATTTAAGGCACCCCTTTTTCTTACTTCTGTTCTAATTAATTTAAGGGTTATAAGTTTTAGACACACTAAAAAAAGTTTGTTAATTTTTTGTTATGCTTCCTAAAAATTCAAACTAAATTTCACTTTTTTTTTTTTTTGCTGAAACAAAGTATTGCTATTTTATATTCTGAAACTCAATATTTCTTTCACTTTAGCTGAATTCGTTATATTTTATTAAATAATGTTAAATTTACTTATGTGAAATGAGTGGATCCTCTTTACTGATAAAAAAATTTGTCCCATGACCATTTCCTTAAAACTATTCGCCACCGCCAATAGAACCGCAATTGCCCGCCCAACTCTTCCACGTCGCCATGCGAACTCCAAACCCACCTCCAGAGTCTATAGAGGAAGATAACAGGGTGGGAGAAGAGAGAGAGAGAGAGAAGGATGAACAGAAGGAGCGGGATGGTGTTCGTGCTGATGGGTTGGGGAGGGGGTTTTGTTTTTTTTGTTTTTTGTTTTTTTCCTTTTTCTCTCCAGTTTATTCGAAAAGTTTTTTAAATGATTTGGAATTGGAATTAATTTATGCAGTCAGCAGAGTTTAAGTGAATGGCCACATGTGAGTCTGATTCGTGAAGCGGCTCTCATTCATGCCACACAAGCAAACTTAACAGTTATTAAGAGAATACACGGAACTAAAAAATGGAGTTAATTTTAAGTTTCAGATTGTAAAGTGGTGATATTTTTGTTTAAGAGAAAAAAGTGAGATTAAGGTATAGCAAAAAATAAGGAAAAAAAAAGAAAAAAGAAAAAAAAGAAACTAATAGGAATACTATTATTATGATAAGGGAATGATAAGAAAACTCTCTTAAAAGTGAGACTTTACACGGATTATCTGTTACCTCGTATTTTTGACATAATATTTATAATGTTGACACGAAAATTAATGTCAACTCGTGAGGTGGCAAAGAGTATATAGAGAGTTTCACTTTGAGAAAGTTTCATTAGCATTTATCTTATGACAGTTTTCAACCTGCATTTTTGTGACCATTGGATAATACATGAGGAAATGTGAATAAATTAATTAAACTGTAAAGTTTGTTTAGTCTAACACAAACCTCAAATCAATAACGTGTTAGGAAGATTAAAATTTGTAACCAAACAATGTAAATGTTAATGATTAGATTATTACTTAAGTATTGCAAAGTTCACCAAGCAAGCTTTTGATTTGTTTACTGGGCTTTGATCAGGCAAAAAGTACTTTCCTAACAACACCGATGTGACTAGAAAAATGTTGCAAATGGCCTTTTGATAAATGCCATGATAAGTACGATTTGTTGAATAGGCATTTTGTACATGCTACATTTAGTGATGTTGTACATGCAAGTCCTTGGTGTACTTTGTCGTTTCAACTCACGCCGGATGCCCTAGTAGTTTCTCCCAAGAGCAAAGATGATGATGATGATATCAATGAAGAAGATAACAATGATGATGTGGATTCTAGTGAAGAAAGGGATAGTGATGATAGGTAGCGACAAACATGAAGTACTTGTGGTTAATTTGATTTTACATATTAATGTCGGATTTAAGCGAGACCGAAATTTATAGAGTTATAGTTTAACGTGTATCTCTTGTTAATGTGCTGTTTTGGGCGCATGGAATTATACCACAACCGGAGGACCTTGATTTTTGTGAACAAGTGAGGCCAACTGAGAATCCGATGAATGGTTCGGTGAGAAAGCGATGCAACACATAATTTCACCAAGTTGAACTCTTAGACTTTTATTTGAAGTGTTGAACCTAGGCGCTTTTAAGTCGTAATGAGCAGTAGTTTCACACTAGACCTATTTGCAATTGTATTGACAAACGGTTTAGTTGAGGCCAATACAACCAGATAAGAGGGAGCTGGGTAAACCTTACTGGATTTGGAGTATTCATGAGGGTTTCTTGATAAAGGGAATGTAGGCTCCTCCTCGAGGCACCACTTGAATCAGGCGAAGGATAGCCTGCCGAATGTTGAAGATTAAGATGGGTATGGATATGAAGAAGTTGTGGGAAGAAAATCAAAGTCTTAAAAAAAGTTGATCTGGGTGGAGGAAGGAAAGAGAAAATCAACCGACGATAACAATGAGGAGGTAGGGAGGAAAGATACAAGGATAGACTTTACAGTGTAAAAACTTATCCCTCATGTCTGTTCAATTTCGATTATTTAATTGGTTGATCTGTTTGAACTTGAGTGTAAAGGGACGCTCATACTGTTTTAACCAACTGATTTAGTTTACGTTTGTCACCAATGTACCCTTTCAAAATACTTTCTGGTTCTGCCATTCTTTTTACAAACCCCACACTAGCCCATATACCTTACCTGTTGGAATTAAATAGAATTTAGTTTTGATCGAATGGTTGAGAAGGAAGAGACCAACAACTAAGTGAATGCTTAGTCTCATAGGACAAGTGTATGCTTTAAATTACTGTTTGTGAATCAAGGGTAGCTTGTAAGAGGAAAGTCCAATGTGTTGATATATAATGAAAATATCTGTGCTTGCTCGATAGAGAGCACTACACATTCCTCTGAAATTCCTACTTCTTGTTCCTTGTCAATTTCCAGAAATACATAATACCAACTACAAATTAAAAATACAAGAATTTATCATTACCCGGGTTTGATCCGGAAACCAGTTACAAACTGGTAGCTAACTCATACGGATTTTAGTAGCAAATGGCCCCTATACATAATTTGTTCCAAGCTAAATTTCAACTTAGTCCCTCAAGGACCCTCACCGAAAAACAAAATAAAATCTATTGCATGCAGCAGGAACCGGTAGTCCTTGCTCAGTGATGAAAGTTGCTTAAGATGAAAGAAGCAAAGTTGATCCAACATTTTCAAGCAAAATTTTCGTAGTAAATCCTTAACTCCTCCATTGGGAAAAACTGGGTGCATCAACACACGCAGTAGTAGTATATACTAGTACTTGCATTCATTTATCTGATTCACGAAGTGACAGAGAAAGCATCTAAGAAGTTACTGACTGAACCCAAAACTGTTCACCTGAAGATGTGACATCATTCGTCATCTAAATTCTCTCTCTCTCTCTCTCTCTCTCTCTCTCTCTCTCTCTCTCTCTCTCTCAGGCCTAAAAATTCATTAGTGGTACTCCTACTTCTGCAGGCTTGTGTAGCCATCACAGGAGCAGAATTTTCTACCGTGTTTTACTTTCTTTCTAGCTCTCATTAGGGTTTCTCATCTCATAGTTTTTAACAACTTGAAGGACCCACCCAAAATGAAGGGCCCCACTCATTATGGCCTGCATACACCAGCAGTTCGAAGTTTGTAACTTTGTGCAGATATCATGATCAAAGATGAGGAGGCACTTGGGAGTTAGGGCAAAATTTGACACCTCCCCAGCCAACAAAAGATTGTGGGGTTGTGACTGACAATGAGGTTAATTATTTTGTGGACTGAGAGAGTACAGACCACTCCCATCCGGTATGAGTACTCCAATTTATTATCCTGTCAAGGATTTCATGATTTTGCTTTGTTTTTCCTTCCCGGGCCCTGCCAAGAACTTCATTGATTCACCTTGACAGGTAAAGCTTCACTATCTGCATGGCAAAGCTTGCAGCTCCCAGAAAAAAGTTGTAGGCGGTTTGTCGCATTGCATTTTGATTTTAATCTAGATGGATTATGTAGAGCAAATTTCAATAGGCCAAATGTATGACTTGAATGACTTGTCGTCGATTAGTTTAAAATACTGGTGTGATGTTAGTCAAAGACTCTCATATGGCTTAAAAGATTTGGGTAATGCCGTTAGGAAAACCAAAATTTTAAACCAAATTGATAAATTAAATGATATGTCACCAATAAGAAATAAGCATGTTAATCAACGTTTAAGTAATATTCAATCATCAACAACCACATCATTTAATTTGCAAGTTTGGTTACAAAATTTGGTCTCCCACCTACCAATGCATGCCTTTTATCATGCTTTGTGTATAGGGGGGATTTTGTTCATTCACTCATCCATTTTTGTATACATTCAATTATTTTATTTGGACTTAAAGTATGTGTGGATGCAAATTTCGTACACGGCTAATTTGACGATAGTGTCAACTTAGCAATTCCCTTGTTGTAACCTACGGCTTTTCCAATGAATATTAATTTCCTTCTTAAACAAAATTAGTAATCAGTGATTTAGGATTAGGATTGTATCAAATGTAAGATTGCAAATCAAAACCGTAGTGTTATTGTGTTAAGCACCCTACAAGAATTTTAATCTATGGTATGGTTTTATTATTATTCTATGCAAATCAAAACCGTTTTTATTTCTTTCTTTCCTTGAAGCTCGATAACTGAAAACATATTCCATGCGAAGTTGACACTCGACACCCTATTCCATATGAAATTTTGACCAAATAAAAAGAATAATTCCATGTAAAGGGAATTTGTATAAACATACTCAATTCTAAAATAGCCCTTTCATACACTCCAATATAATATAACCCATTACTATTGAGTATTTGTAAAGAAGCCCTTCGTTTAAATAACCATCCAAATACACCAAAATTTTATAATTACGCGATTTTTAATTCTTATTTTAATTTCGTTATTTTTAGAATTTTAATTAAGTAATTACAAAAAGTACAGGGAGCTTTAACTAAAAGCTCTCGGTCACTTTAACAAAAAAACCATATTTTTACACTAAAAAGTCAATCCTGGTATTATTCACTTTACCCTTTATTTTGTCCTTATCATTAAAACTCAAAGTTTTCAAGTCATTTTCATTAGTTTTCCTTATAATATAAGCCACAACTATTGAGTATTTGCAAAGAGAAGCCCTGGAGTTTAATAAATGGCAGACAAATACATGGTGGTTATTTACATGAAGGGCTTCTTTTGCCCTGGAGTTTAATAATTGATATTTGTGGCCGTATCAACTTTGGTTTTACAAAAAGGGGCTATTTATTAAAAAAGTGGTGATTTTAGCCTAATTCCCAATAAAGAAAGGAAACAAAGGTAAAAGAGTGCCAAAGGAGAATTAGAGACGCAGAAAAAGCCCATGAGGAATTCATTTCTGTGACGAGGCCCAGAAGATGTCAACTCAGGTCTGTGCTTTCTGCTTTCCATGGAGCTCTCTCCTTTCCAAAAACCCCTCAAAACCCTAATCCCTAATTTCACTATACCCATCAATTTGCCATCATTACCAACCTAAATTTAATTTCTTTTTCTGTTTAATTTGATGAATAGGTATTACAATTTCAAACTTGGTTTTTCTAAATTTCTTTTTTTGAACTTTGAATTAAAAAGTTGGCATATAAAAATTTCAATTTTCTTGTTATTGTTGATGTGATTATGTTTGCTAAATTAGTTGTTTGAACAATAATTAGGAGGATGTTAAGATGAGCCAGCAACCATCGGTGATCCTTGCAACGGCTAGCTATGATCACACTATTCGGTTTTGGGAGGCCAAAAGTGGCCGCTGCTACCGTACCATCCAGTGCCCTGATTCGGTTTGTTCCTCACTTCCTACTTTAATTGTTTTGATTGAAGAAGAAATGATCATTGTGTGTGTGATTTTGTGCTATGAATTATGGATTCTGGGTTTTGGTAAAATGTTGATTTTGCTTTGAATCCGACTGAATTAAGCAGAATTAGTTGGATTGAGTTTTGTGGAACAGAATGGTTTCGTTTGTTGTAGGTCATTGAGTTTCGTCCAGATCGTAGTCCATTGGTTGTGTTCTCCGAAATGATTGTGAAATTTCTGATGGATTTACTTTCTTGTTCTTATTTGATTTATTTATGCTGGATCTGACTTTCTATTTTTTTTTCATGAGCATAGCAAGTTAATAGGCTTGAGATTACTCCAGATAAACGCTTCCTGGCTGCAGCCGGAAATCCTCACATTCGATTATTTGATGTTAATACAAATAACCCTCAACCGGTTCGTCTTTCTCACGCGTTAGTCTTGCTTTTGTTTGCATCATATTAAGGAGGGGGGTGGGAGTGGAAAATCTTGGATGCTTTCTATTACTTCTTCTATCAACTTATGAGCCTCCTCCTTGTATGACTGTGTAGGTGATGAGCTATGAATCACATAGTAATAATGTAATGGCAGTAGGGTTTCAATGTGATGGGAACTGGATGTATTCAGGTTCTGAGGATGGTACAGTAAAAATTTGGGATTTGAGGTAATCGCTGCCAACAGATATAGAAATATAATATATATATTATATATATATATATATATATGCATACGTGTGTGTTTGTTTTAATCTGTATCTCATCAAGTTTTGTTCTTGTATTTTATATAATTTAGACTTATATGTTGACTTAATTACAGAGCCCCAGGTTGTCAAAGGGAATATGAAAGTCGTGCAGCTGTTAACACTGTTGTGCTTCACCCGAATCAGGTCAAGCATTTTCTCTTCCTTTCCACCATAGAATAAATAAATGTTGCTAATTCACTATCTGGTTTACTGTTTTCATAACTTCTGAAATATTAAGAAAGAAATGAAATAAAGAAGAGGAACACCTTGCAGTCTGTAACGGTTTTGATTGTTTATCAAAGATGTTAACATTTTTTTATATTCGTTTTTACAGACTGAACTAATATCTGGGGACCAAAATGGCAATATTCGTGTTTGGGACTTGACAGCAAATTCATGCAGCTGTGAATTGGTATGCTTCATTTTGCTGCACTTTTGTATCCCTATTCATCTTCTACTATTCAAATTGCTAAGCTAGAAAGAGGTCCACCCTGTTTTCAGCTTGTACTAACTTCAAGAGGTCCTTTTGTGAGTGTGTTGTCTGGAAACCAATATTCCAAAGCTTTGGTATGTCATTAGGTGAAAGGAAGATCTAAATGCGCGAAATCATTAGACTCGTGCAATTGTTTACATAATAACAAATAAATTTGAAAAATATAAGGGAATAAAAATAAATAAATAAAAACGTAGTGGTGTCCTGTATGCAGGAGTAGATGGTTGGTGGAAATAGATTTTTGGATGGTACTTACCAAGGATTAGAATGTGAATTTGTGGTGCTAGGAGAGTTTATTACTCTTGATATTTTATATTTTTCATATGAAGCTTACTTGTTTTATCTGTAGCATCTTAAAGTTGTACATGATAAATTTAACATTGATTTTTGGACTTAACCTAGGTTCCAGAGGTGGATACGGCTGTAAGGTCATTAACAGTTATGTGGGATGGGAGCTTGGTTGTTGCAGCAAATAATCATGGGACATGCTACGTTTGGCGCTTGCTGCGGGGAACCCAGGTAATACTCTCATCCACTTGATCCATTATCTAACGTTATCTTCTTATCATGGTTAATTCATTTTGACGTCAAGTACTTTTTCTTCCAGACAATGACCGAGTTTGCGCCACTTCATAAACTGCAAGCACACAAGGGAAGTTACATTCTTAAATGTCTTCTTTCACCTGAATTCTGCGAACCCCACAGGTTTGATTATTGAAGGATATTGACCTGCTTTTTTTTCTGATCTTTTCGGGTTCAAATAATATCTGCTCTTTCTTTGTCTTCTGTTCCTACCTGATTGAGGCAAATAAAACTTTTTCTTTTACTGTATACTTCTGTTTCGGTTCACATGATATCCACTTTTTTATTTTGTCTTCTGTTCCTAGCTGCTATACTTGCTGTTGTGAGTTGTTGGCATAATCTTTATAAGCTTTGTACTTTTAGATACTTGGCGACTGCCTCTTCGGACCACACTGTCAAGATATGGAACGTAGATGGTTTCACATTAGAGAAAACTTTAGTAGGTATGTTTCTGTAACATTCTTCAAAGGTGCTGATTTCAGTCTGCAAATTACTCTATAAACCCGATGGTTACTGAAAAATAGCCATATTATAAATTGATCTTTTACTGTTGCTTTACATTCTAGGACATCACCGATGGGTGTGGGACTGTGTTTTCTCAGTAGACGGTGCCTATCTTATAACAGGTATTAGTTTCATTTCATAATACATGAAATTATGAACGTGCCTCTCTTTTGATGCACCATGTAGTGAGGAATCTGCTTCTAATTAAGGATTTTGACTAAAGTTCTGAAGTTTAGTTTATACATGTCATTTTTCAAACTCCGATTTGGCCGCATCCATCTTTTTGCTGTCAATAAAAACTATCAAAGTCGTTTTTTCAACACATAACTTGCGTGATAAATTAACATTTACATTCATTGTTTCCGTTCTCCTTTCTTGAAAAGCAAAAAGGCGACAATTACATTAGGAAAACTATTGAAACTAATACAACGACTGAATAATCTATCATCCATCCATGTAGCTTCCTCTGATACAACAGCAAGGCTTTGGAACATGTCCACGGCGAAGATATCAGGGTGTATCAAGGGCATCACAAAGCAACCATTTGTTGTGCACTCCATGATGGAGCCGAACCTTCTGCATCTTGAACCTCAGCCGTCCTCGGCTCATCTGCATGCATGTATGCCCGGAGCATGCACGCGTTGACGGCTACACACAATTTCTTTATGGTTTATAATGGAATTTGGAGTTGCATAAAAGTGATGTGGTGCTACATTATCTTCTTTCATGCAGTTATTTCCCGCCTAATGTGCATTATGTGTATTACTATTGTAGCTGGAAATAATGATGTAAACAACCTTCTTTGGAATTCTTCGACACTTTGTTATATTGAAATTTATCCCCGTGTCATCGATTCATCGACATCCATTGACCATAGTAAACATAAACAATCTCTGGTTCGCTGTTCTGCCTGTTTCTTTGCTATGCGGACGAAATATTTAGTACCAAGTGGATTTATGGATGCTACATTGACAACACAAGAATTTCATGTAAAAGACAGCCTACGAGATATCAGTCAAACGTTCATGTAAGTGAAAAGCTAACTTGATTGTCAAACGAATTTAAAATTAAAATTTTGAATTTTCAAAAGTTGTGATGTCAAATTTTTTTTAGGGTTTTTGGCTGAAGGGATCGAATTTTGACATTTGATTCTTCACATGATTCATTTTTAGCATGTGCTCGTTATATCATCATTGTATCATTGATATGAATAATACGTTCAAATGTCAAAAGAGAATCATTTTAGATAATTACCAAAATTTTAATGAGTTTTAAAAGGAGCTGTTATTCACACTCCAACCTGCGGTTTTTAGAAAATTGAGTGAAAATTCTAATTCGGAACCATAGTACAGAAGTTGAGATTCGTTCGAAACAATTGAAACTACAAGGACAAAATTGAAACCAAAGTAAAACTACAACACCAAGATTGTTGTGTCCACTAAAAACAGATATCAGACTACGTTCTGGAGAAAAAACAATACATAAGACAACAAAAGAGCCCTGTAATGACATGCCAAGATAGGCGCACCGACCAAAATTGTGTTCATATGAAACAAGCTCAGATCTCTGTACGCTAAACCTCTATCTTCTGCATCAAATCAAAACATCCAGTGCCTACCTTGACTGGCAATCCAAGACAGATCCTCGAGGATGGCGTTTCCAAGTCATCCGTCTGCCCGTGATATGCTGCTTCGACAATGAACTTAGAAGCTGTCTCAAAAGACATTTTATTAAACGGAGATATTGACTCTGCTATGCCTCCAAATCTATTCATTGGTCGATAACCACCCGAGTGAGTCATGTAGTCAGCTATAAGCGTAAGGTGCCTAATGTTGACTGATATCCCGTAAGACTTGAAAACGTTCATAATTTCTCTGATGATAGTTTCCCTGGCGGCTTCAACTCCGTAAGTGTTCAGCATAGCATGTATGTTGTTGGAATATAAATACCTGACATCAAGAACATCTTGCAATTTCCAAAATGTACGGAAATCCACTCCAGTAGTCTGCAGTGCTGCCATCTCCTTTTTTTCCTTGGATGAATAACTTTGTTTATTCTCAGGATCCTTTCCGTATAAGAGGACTTGATTTTCGTCACAAGTTATTTGTTTACAGTCATCAACACTGCCAGATCTTTGCATAGAAACCTTCTGGGCTGTCTGCTGAGCAATCTAAATAACAAATTCAAACAGTTTCAACACGGCTGAAAGTGAAGGTATAACAACAAAATAAATAGGGACGCCGAATGGCACATCTAATAATTATACTCATAAGTTTACGACATTTTTGCACGTGCTCTTTCAACATTTCTATAACTTTATTAGGGCAATGTTTATGTTGATGGAACAATCCAACGTTAGCTAATGGCAATAAGGGGTGACGGCTGTGGGTGTTACGTACCCAAGTTTTCTAATGAAAATGAGTAGAAGAGTAAAACTGAACGTACCTGAGCCAGCAAAATATGAGGTTCATCGGTAAATTTAAAATGGACCTCAAAGTGGAACCCCTTCGCTGACACAAATATTGACCTGTCGGTGTCTTTTCTTACTAACTGAGCTCTGATCTTTTTCTTTTTAATTGTGGCTCCTGATTTGTTCTTTTTCTCCTTTGACTTGGGCTTAGGCAGGTTTCCAGCCTCTTCTAAAGGACTTGTAGGCATTTCATCAGTAGCATCTACAACCTCAATTGCACCATCCTTACCAGTTTCAACATCATTCTCCTCATCATTATCCGCATCATTTTCGACTTCATCTCCATCTGTCAGATCTCCATCTCTCACTTCATCTTCACATCCATCTTCATAATCCATCTCATCGAAAGCTTGAAGCTTTCGCTTTTGTGCATCCATACCAAAATCCTCGGCCCCTTCACCATCGTCTGCACCATCATTGTCATCGTCTTCTTCCTGATGTTGATGTCCGCTTTTAGAAATATTTTCATCCGTCTCATTTGATGCCTTTTGTGGTGCATCAGTGACATTTTTTATACCACTAATTTTGGAAAGCAAGAGCACATGACTTTGTATGGCATCTTCCAACGCCCTAACAAACATAACCTCTAGGATTTCCTCCCAATCTTCTGATATATCTTGAACGATGTTTTGAAGATGTTCAGGTATGTGGAGTTTCATTTGAAGTTTATAAATACGGCAAGTTTCAAGACCCTGAAGGACAAATGGCAACAACGTAACTTCCATACTCTCTATTATGTCTGCCACAGTGATCTTCTTCAACTTATTAGCTAGATGCTGAGCTTCCTCCCTGCACATAACAACAGAGTGGTTCAAAGTCAATAGATACAACACATGGTGACTGTACTGTCTATAAACGTTTCAAGTGACAAAAAACAAGAGGACATGAAAATCATTAAAGTTCAACAATTGGATAACGCAATCTCAGCAGGGTTTAGTGACAGTAAACACTGAGAAATACGTAAGCTCTGCTACTGAGAACAAATGTACAAGGTTTTTCTTTCTACCATCAATGAACACCATTTTCGGGCACCTCCTTAATCATATAGATGAGGCAATCCTTTTCCCTGCAAGGACAACTACCTTCTTATATTTTTATCCCAGAAACCCTCTTCCAACGGTCCATTGTCTATAAAGTAAAGGTTAATTTGAGTTTTTCAAGTGCAAGCAACTTTTATAGAACTACTAACAACAGATGAGATGCATAATTAATATTCAACTCAAGCAAAATACAGTAGGTTTGGCATGTATGAGTATAACTATGTATCACCAACGATAGCTTTGCAATAAAAGTTGCATTGGAGTTGAGACAAAATGAAGCCTTCCCATAAACTATCCTCACTTTAACTATGACTTGGAGCTTTTGGTGAAAATAAGATTTTTACATAGCTTGTGGCACTCCCTTTGAAATTTATAAGAATCAGTCTGTAATGTTGGAAGACCATCGTATGCCACCAAAGATCAAGGGAAAATTCTATAGGGTGGCAACCAGCAATGGTTTACCGCATGGAATGTTGGGGAGTCAAGCATCAACACATGCAAAAGATGAGTGTAGCAGAGACGATGCTTCGTCGGATGAGTGGGTACATGAGAAAGGACAGGATTAAGAACGAGGATATCCAATGTAAAGTAGGAGTGGCATCAATTGAAGATAAGATGAGAGAAAATCAGTTAAGGTGGTTTGGCCCGTTTGGACATGTTAAACGAAGACCTACATATGTTCCGATAAGAAAATGTGATTATGAGATGGGCTTTGGGAAAAAGGGGTAAAGGAAGACCTAGGAAGACTTGGAAGACACTTCAAGAAAAAAATTGGAGTACTTGGAGCTAACGGAAGACTTGGCGTTGTAGGATTCACACAGCTGACCCCACTTAGTGGGATAAAACTTTGTTGTTGTTCTTGTTGTAATCCGTAATTTTGGAAAATATTACTTCAAGATGTACAAGAAAATACATCAATGTACACTATGTTCAGTTATCAATAACAATAAACTATAAAAATAAAATAAAAATAAAGGCAAAAGTGGTGCACCAAAACCAATTAAGGACTCACTTTGATCTCCCCTTTCGCAATGGACATGTCATGACCGGAGTCTTAATCTCATTTGCAGCAGTCATCAAGATTTCTTGAAGACGAGGGATTCCAAGTGTCACATTCATTTCACCTCTTCCAGCAAGATGGAAAGTATTCAGTCTGAAAACAATAAGCAAAGGATACATATCAACATTAACAAAAAAATCATGGTTCATAAATAAAGCACATAACTAGACTAATTTCATTGTATCATAAGGCTAAAAACCAGATAAACTTTTACATTTGGTCTTCTTTTCTGAAATAAAGGATTATTGCTGAGAAAAATAGGATTATAAAGGAGGTGATTGGCACATCAACAGACAAAATAAAAAGTCGAAACAGAAACCTAGCTAATGTAAAAGCAGCTCCTACCAATAGGCTCCAAACAGCATTGTTTTAAGCAAAATGTGAGCTCAAGGGGTGAAGTGAGCCAAAGTGACTTTTAGGGGCATCACAATGGGTTTCAGGGGGAAATAGAGTAAGTAACATTCACTCTAGAAACAGAACAGCAAAACTATGTAGCCATTTGAATAATAAACCCTGAACCAATGAGCAGAATTCAAAATGACATGGAAGAAAACTTACGTCATCTGAGTTGACGGTTCTCCTACTGACTGAGCAGCAAGAACACCAACTGGTTCTCCAGGTTGAGCAAGACTAGAGAGGTATTTATGCTCCATTAACTTCAAGAAATCCACTTGGCGGAATAAGTTATGACTTTCCTCCTTCAAGGACAAATCAAGCACGAACTTCTCTGCTTTATACTTGAGAGCTGAAGGCAGCTCAGCAATGTAAGGATCGGATTTGTCGATTTGTCGATGGAATTTGTTCTGGAACATTTCTTTATTCTGAGAAAAAAATAGTCAATAGATAGCAAATAAATAATTGAAAAACAGTCTGTACAGGAAGCATATGCATAATTGAATTTACGGCTGAATAAATAATTGAACCAAATTCTTACAGCTGCCAGGGAGTCAAATTTTTGTAGGAAGCTTGTCAAATGGACATCAACACCATCTTCTCCATAATAAAATTGAACAATGGAACCGTCAGCATCACGGACGGTATGGTCATAACAAACTTTTAGGCACTCAAGATTTTTTATTAGGCACCTTTGCAGGTACCCACTACGAGATGTTTTGACAGCCTGTATCAACCAACCTAGCAGTATAAACATCGTAGTTAAAAAAGGGGAAAGAATAATCATTCAAATGGTTACTAAGGACACGGTACACCTTAAGTTCTAATTGATTGCCAAGTAGAAAAGGGGGAAAAAAATTGCTCTCCACCTAATGTACTCCTAAACCTCAAGCAAGAGGCGGTACTGACCTACCTATGTTTTCTACAGATGCTACCTCATCCTACCTGATATACTGCACACAACTGCACAGAAACACCCCATGCATGCATAAGTCAAAGTGATCCTATTATGGAGGATGAACTAATTCAACAATACAAGTGAAAAGGTCTGGTTTGTAAGAGAATATTTTCAATAAAGATTTGCAATAACGTCACATTGCTTCCATTTACCAGTCAATGGCATCAAAACGAGTTTGAATTTCTCCTGATGGACAGTCTGGACTACAAAAAATTTGATACTAAGATTCTCAAAATAATTATCCCCAATTTTCTTTTTTTAAAGAAATCAAATTATACGTGCACCAAGTGGCTGAAGGAAAAGTTTAAAAACGGGGAATCAATAGTTGCTTCCTTCTTTTCTCCCACTTCCCCAAGGGAAAAGAGATTGAGTTTATCAGTCATAACTCAATAAATTATTATCCGTCTGCTTGATCTCATCTATGACCAAAAACCAGAGTTTAAACCTTTCTATTCGGTCATAACTCAAGACAACTGCACGTCAGGTAAGAATTCTGTGTCATAAAGCTTTTAATTTCCATTAACAAAGAAACAGCATCTTATATTTTTGTACGACAAAGGTAAAAGGGAATTGAACAGAAAGGATGATCATTTCTCCAAAAGATAACCTAGACAAGGGTTGAGAAAAGAGATCTAAATTACCCTTCACGACCAGCCATGCAATGAAAATAATACTCCTGAGGCCGAAGACCAGTAAGAAAACGATCAATAATAAAGCCTCCAGATCGAGATGACCAATCCCATGGGTGAAAGCACGGTAAGGTCTTTCCAGAAACCATTTGAGGCACCCGTTTGCCTTCTAGCTCTTGCTGACCCAAATACGAAGTTATTTGTTGGAGGTTGGCCTAATCAAGAAGGTAAAAGCATTAAATGCATAGGTGCAAAATTTCTTTATAAAGTATCTCGAATAATTCTACCAAAAGAATTACAACTAATAGCTTATAGATGGTAATGAGTACACATTAGGCAGTTCAATAATGTTGCTCAGAGATGGCTTACATAATACGAAGCAACAGGGAACTACTACTATCCAAAAACTAAGATATGAGTACCGCAAGGATCAAAGCAATAATAATATAAAAATATATATTTATATCATACAAAATACAATATTTTATTTATATATATATATATATATATATATAGAATATATTCTTTCTTTTTTCCTTTTCTCTTAATCATTTTTTGTTTGCCTTCAAGTTAATCCTTGACGTTTTAAAACCACCCAAACCTCATTTAACAAAGAAAAAAAATTCAAAAAATTCTTTAAGAGCACCCTGAGCTGAATCCTTTTTCGTAAAAAATTTTACAGAATAACCCCTTCCGTATCCTATGCAAATCAAGTAAGAATCCAGGTCAAACTTTCCAAAAGGTCAATCAGATACGCATTTGTAGTGTCCAATGCATACCCATGTGAATTATCGTCTTATCAATATTGAGTACACCATACCCTTCTTTATTCATGCTTCATAGCTATCATATATATCTAGCATATTATTAACATTTTACATTGCTTTGCACATGATGTTGAAAATAAAATATTATTTAATATTTTATAGAAACAATAATAAAAACCATTAACTTATGATCAGGATATATACAGGAAAAAAAGGAAACGTGGGAAAAAATCACTTGGAACTAATGCATATATGCATTTATTATACACAATCTACAAACGTTATCTACTTTATCAGGTGATACTTATTTCTTATCAGGAAGCACATCTTGTAAGGAGGGAGAAAAACATTAAAAATTTTCAAGTGAGAAAAGCAATTTAAAGTTCAATATATTGAGTCCTACTCTCCTAAGGTCTTGATTTTGAGGACCTATGAGGACCAAATGCATATTAGCCACAAGACTGTATTAGTTTAGATCTAAAGCTTAAAAATGTGACAACTTAATAAAGCAAAACAAGAAAATGAGCTTTCTTATGGTTCGTGGATTTTAAGTTGGTTTTGATTAAGTTGTCAAATATTTTAAGCATTTGGATGTAAACTAATATAATCTTGTGCCTAATATGCATGTAGTCCTCACAAGTCCTCAAAATGAGAACCTTAGGAGAGCAGGACTGTCTATATATCATCCTTAAATGGTTAAATAGTTTTTATGAACGCGACTCAATAATTAAAAGATATATTAAGATATTGATTACCTATGACATGGAATACATCCCTTGCATTTTCATACTAGTAACTTGAAAAATCGTTAAGGTACGTTTATCAAATAAATGTCTTGGTGCATTCTGTCATGCCACCTATATACACCTAATTATAGTAATGTCAAAAACATAACTTACTCTTTAGTATTCTAATACTGCACTATCATGCTGCATGTTACTCATAAAAAGAATAAAGTATGCAGTTAGCACTAGAAACTTACCACACTACCTTTAGCCCCAGATGTGGTCATAAGATAGATACAATTCTTAACGGACGGTTTTGATAACCCTTTCAACAATAATTGTTTGAAGACGTCAGAGTTGGAGGTCTTGTTATTAAGCTGACTAATCATTCTCCTATCCAAGGCTGCCAAGGCAGATTCTCCATTACTCCGTATAAATTTTTCAATGTTCAATTGCAGTGCCACTAGATCTGCAAATTTCATCAAGATATCATGCATCCGTTAAAACAAATGAACTGAGAATAGTGGGGGAAAACACAAGGTGTAAAAACTTAAAAAGAAAGACTGATCAGAAATTATAGATCTTCATTTCAACAAAGTTTTTCTTCAGATTGAAATGCTCGTCTGAATAGACGATAATTTGATTTTGAATGGCATTTTAAATTATTTGAATTGAAGCTACCCTAGTAACTATTAGTACCGCTACCATTTTTCATAAGAAAAATCAGATTAAATACTCCGATCTCCCATGTTTTAACTGAAGCTGAAAGCGAAGATACTATATATATTAGGTACAACAATAACATATGTATCTGCAGTTCGAATATGGGCTTAGTCTTGACTATGGGGCTATAGAGATGGGTAAGCTGGCTCAGTTTGGCTGATTCTGTTTTAAGAATGAGATAGCTTGGACTTCGGTGTCAAAGAAATTACGATACCTAAAGAATTCCAGAAATGGTTGTTATTTTCAGGAAAGACATGTTCTATGCGTGCATGAGCTCAACAAGAAACCTTCTACCATGTTGACCATTAAAGGTAAAATCGGATTAGAAAAGTGACGAACTTGGAGGAATGAAAAATATCAGAACATTCTGAGAAGGCAGAGAATGGAAGCATTTGTCAAGTGAGCCTAGATCTCTCACATTGTACAACGACCTCACAATCATCAACCTATATATGTTTTTGACAGAGAAATGTTTGCTACAGAACAATGGCATACCTTTTCTTTTATCATCTTCGACTTCGATAAAATCACGGAAAACTTTTTCACCAATCTCTTCACAACTTTCAAGTTGTTCCTTCATTTTTGTGTCTTTGCTCGGCATTACCAGAAGATCATCAACACCACATGTGAACCCATGCATCTGAACCATACACAACATAATGCAAGCTTATATAGTTGCTACTTGCTAGAGAAAATAAATTAAGGGTAAACAGGAAATAAAATTAACTACATAACAGCAAAACAAATATTGAACCCAACTAACCTGCAAATAAACAGTAAACAAACGACTCAATACAGAAAGCAATATTCCTGCAGCATCTGAGCCATAGAGCTCCTGCACTGTATGGACCAAACCATAATCACCAAACTGAGCCTTGTCAATCACACCGCGCACCAAATTGTTTTTATAGATTAATAAACTGTTCTCATCTACAACCCCTGTGTCCTTTGATTTATCGTTATCTACTTTTTTGTCTGGTTTCTTCTCATTCTGTGATCCACATTCATCAGCTTGTTTTCCTTTGCTTCGTTTCTTCTTTTTCTGTAGTTCCTCTTCATCAAATTTCTCTTCTTCAAGATTACAGTTAAAAAAACCACGTGGGATTTTTGCATCCTTTTCTACAGTAACTGGCGGAGAACCCCTAGTAATATGATTTAGCAAGGCAGTGATGACCTGGAAAGAAGAGAGATTGAGTTTTAAAATCAAAGTCCAGGAACATCACAACAGTACTATTAACATACAATAAATGAAAGAAAAAGGAGAAGACAGGTATACATTTAACAACCCAAGGACATCACAAAAAGTTATGCATTCAAAAATCTAAAATTCAGATTTCAGTGGAAGTCACATTTTGACTTTTCTGCTACAAATTTGTTGAGTAAATTTAAAATAACCTGTTTTCCAGTCCAAAGACGCTCTGGTTTCCAAATAGCAGGAAGAAGGGGCTGCATTGTGCCTTCAATGTTACACATGAAAACCTTTTGATCTGGTTTTCCAGACAAAGCATCTGACCGACGGGCTGAAACACATGAACTATAAAGAAGCTGATTAAATTCCTCCCAGCGCAAAAAGGTATCCTTCTTTGTAAGGAGGACAGCACTTATGACATGGTCCTGAAATTTTCAAAAGACTAAACCATAAACAAATATTTAAAGATGCGTTGGTGCAACTGCTCAAGATACAACAAGTACTTAAATATTTTCTTAAAGTTGCATATCAATTACCACAATAGTTTTTCAATACCTGAATCAAGGCTCTAATTGGATCACCGCTGGTAGGCTTTACATATTGGTTATTTGCATTTACGATATTGTAAGCTTCTGCTCGAGAAATTTCATCTTGTGGAAAATGAACATTCATTTCATCACCATCAAAATCAGCATTGTACGTACTGAAACCACAACATTAAATCAAAACTTGCCAATAGATTATAGACGCCAAAAACAAATTTCAGGTGGTGAATATGTAAACAACTATTATATGGATGCATGTGTTTGAAATATCAACCTGCAATTTGCATAGTGCATACGAATTGTTTTCTCCCCCTTCAATACACGAACTACATGCGCCATTATACTGGGTTTGTGAAGTGTAGGCTGCAATATGAAACAGAAACCAAGCACTCAACCACAAAACTAATGATTAATCAAATTATAATCCAGAATTTACATTACATAAACATATATTTTAGAAGAAAAGAAAAGTTAACCTAACAAACTTTTGATGTAAAAGTTAAGAAACTATAGTCTATACCACATCAATTTGTTATGTTTAATCTATGAATACATACAAATATTTGAATCTATATAACTATTCACCGTGCATGTTGCATTGTGCAATTGTAGAATTTATCTTATAAATAGGTGCAATATATTATCTAATATAATACCTTAATTATTTATTTAATGCCAACTAGAATCTCATTATTTTCGTATAAAGCCTAGCACCATAAGCGTTTAGCTTCAGTGAAGGAAGACAAACATTTATACATAAAGCCCCAATGTGACCACTTAATGAAAATGAACAAACATTTAACTATTAGATAATGCTCTTTTGGGCAAATACAAAATTTCTTTCCTTTATAAAAGAAGACAAACAATGTAAGCAATTTATCCACTAATATGGTAGCACAATACCAACTGCTTCATACCATAATGCTTATAATCAGCCTGGATATAAAACTCCTCATCACAAATATATGCAAAGGACATTATACATACGAAAGTCAATGAAGCAATACCTGTCGATTGACAAGCACAATGTCCCCATCTCGCAAGTGACGAAAAACAACTTTGTTTTCATAGCTATTATCAGATCCTTTTCCGTGTTGTGTAGCAAGCCCTTTTGAAGAAGGTAATTTTCTTGCTGTTGAAATGCGTTCTCTCCGGTTTTGTCTCAACATCTTCACAGAGGACTTATCAACATACTGTGTAGCTCCAGGATGGATTTCAGGACCGTTGACAATTGCATTCCTCAACTTGTCAACATTCCACGGAGTAACTCTCTGCAGTAATTTCAACATCAATTTAAGAAGAAAACATTGATGCTCATCCGAAGCCACAAAGCCAACAGTAAACCTTACCTCAGGATATGTTAATCTAGTTGCAAAATACGGAGGAATTCCAATCTCATTAACAGCTAAATAGGGATCTGGGGATATGACAGACCGACATGCATAATTAACCCGTTTGCCCATCATTTTCTGCCGGAACAGGCCTTCCTTCTTCTCAAGCAACTGACATATTCCAGGATCCGCATCTTTTTGACCTTTACCTAAATAGAAGTTCAAAAGGTCACTACTTAACTGCTACAGACAGGGAATAATTTGAAAGATCATGAACTAATTAATCCAATATAGTGTAAAAAAGGAACTTTCTATCATCTTGTAAACCAAGTGGTCATTTTCAATTGTCCTACATAACAGGTGGTGGGTCCCATTTCCATTGGTACGAATGCCAAAAGGCAAAGTCAGTGAGATATACATGGGATTTGCAGCCCTCACCAGTGCTTTGGCTTTTGATAATTTCTGGCTGCATTGGAGAGATTCGCTTGGATCACTTTTTGGCCTTGACTAATCAGTTACCCATTTGGGCTGGTGGTTGTCATGACTCATATGTCAGAAGCAATCTAATAAGGACTGGACTCATTAGATAGAATATCAACAGTAGGACCCACTATGTCAAGCCCTTAATATAAAATATATTGACTGATACATGAGCTCTTTAGTTTTTGCCTTAGGTCCTTCATGTTCAATAGGGAATAGCTATTAAAGAAAATGAAATAGAGCACCACAATGGACAAGAACTCAAGGGAGGTTATCCTACTTAAAACAACAATCCTACTCACTACTATCCTCAACAACCTCATAACTTCCACCATAACCCATCTTTGACCCCTAATTTTCCCACAGATAATTCAATTCATCAACACTCGCATTCTAAAAAGTCAAGAACAAAGGGTATCAAAAGTGTGAAAATCAGGGGTCACACATAGCCTTGTTGAGCCACATCAATCGTTCACTTGACACTGAGCATCCATATATGATATCATCTTGGTATGATGGAAATTATCATACTAGTAGCAAGATGCCTTAAATTTCTCTCTCTTCTCCTCCTCCTCGTTTTTCTTTTGATTTCATTTCACTCCTTCCTCACACTATTTCTATTTGTTCCTCATGAATGGGGAATTGAATCAATCTTTGTAATGAACTTTTCACACCATAAATATTTTTCTTTTTTTGGTTATCCGTATCATACCGTTTTCCAGTATCTGCCTATGGTTCTGTTTTTACACTTCTACTCTATGTTGCACCACCAAAAGATGAAAGGGTAAATTACACAAAACTACCTCGACTATAGGTCGAACCACAATTTCATACCTCATGTTTTAAACATTACAATGTCATACCTCCACTTATAATTCGTTGCAATGTTAGACCTCCATTAAATTTTCTGTCAATTGAGTTGTTAAATGATGACATGACAGGAGCGGTGCCCACCCCTTTCCCAACTAAAATAAAAAATCAAATTATTATTAATAAATTATTTTTTTTATTTAACAATTAAATAAAAACCTCTCTTCCTCCCTCACTCCCTCTCCTCTCACTTGTCTCCCTCCCTCTCTCGCTGCTCTCACTTGCAAAAATGGCAGCCATGGCCAAACCTCAGCACACCGGCTAGCTTTGTTTCTCACTTGCAGAGAAACAAAGCTATGTCTGATGCATCCAAGAAGATCACCACCTGGAACTCCACCTCTCAAGAACCCTAACTCAAATTCCAGAAATAAAAAACCCCCTCATCCACTCCAAATCTCGATCCTCACTTCCATCAAACATCATCTCGTCGCCAGAATACTAGTCGTCATGGACGACTTATAGATCATAGGTGACTGCAGATCATCTCACCGGAAAATAGGGAGATGGCGCTACAAGCGCGACTAAGGGAGGCGGTGGACTCGAGGAATCTCTAAGTCCCTAAAATTTAAATTTGATCCTAAATTGAATCCATAAACCCAGAATCTCTAAATCCATAAAATCTTTCAAATCCTAAATCCCTAGAGGCTAGAGCAGACATGAAAGTACCAGAAATTGAAGCGGACGAACAATGGAACACGCCCAAGAATTGAAGATTAAAATAGTCGCCGAGGGACGAATCGCACAACACAGAAAGGCTTGAGTTTTTGCGTCTGTTTTCTCTTATCTGTTCTCTAAACCTCACGCAGTACTGCCGACATTGGTTGCGGCATTTTGTCGAGCACCGGGTTTGCACATGGCTGCTGCCCAGAAAACCAAGGGGTCATCCATGGCTCTCCCCAGCCGTCTTCCGGAAATCCAAGGGGTTAACCGACCCACCTTGAACCCTCGTAGATCCCCCATCCATGGCTCTCCTATTTAATATACAGCATCCATTTGAGCCATAAGCCAATCCCTAATTTAATTCTCCATTCCATGTACCAGAACAAGCAGAGAAGAAGATGGTGAAGAATTCGACCAAACAAAGAAAAATGGTGAAGAAGAAAGAAAAATGATGAATCCTGTACCAATAACAATTGTATTTTTTCAATTGAATTTTATGATTTTTGACATTTTTAAATAATTAAATTTTCTTAATTATCAATATTAAATTAATTTTGTAATCCAGTTGGGTGAGGGGTGGGCCCCATGCTTGCCACAATAACATTAACAGAAAAATTGATGGAGGTATAACATTGCAACGAATTAGTAAGTTGATGTATGACATTGAAATGTTTAAAAGATGAGGTATGAGATTATTATGAGACACAAAGTTGAGGTAGTATTATGTAATTTACCCAAGATGAAAATATAAGTTGGAACATGAAAATAAAACAAACAGAAAGCAATGAATTTATATAAACAAAAGAAATAGGAAACTCTAGAACTAAATATTAAAACGCTTAACAGAGAACTTGAACTACACATTCACTAACCAGTAGCAGTTTTGCTATTGTACATCACATTTATGTACTCTTGAAGATCCCTCCACTGCCGAATTGTCTTTGAGGGGTCAGACTTGGTAACAACAGACTCTTGCAAAGAATTATTTGCCTGCACCACCTTACTTAATAAAACGGTTTGAGGATGCTCCATCACCTAAAATGTGAAAACATGACCAAACAGATAGAATTCAGAGAAGGCGGTGGGACATAAATCATTGTATTACAGACTTGCAGTACTACTTTCTCTATTTTTTTGTGTGAACAAGAGTAATACTTTCTCTAAAGGAGTTCCATAATTCTATTATTTTCAACTTAGAAAGAAAAGAAGATGCTTTCCTAAGAAAAGGTTCCATAAAATGCACAATGACAATAGTACGTGGCGCATGAACCAAGAAAGCCAAAGGAGGGTTGAAGGAAAAAAAAAACAACTTAAATAAAGGTAAAAAATTCAGCAAAGTTGTTCTAAAGAGCAAATCAATTTTGAGCTTAAGATTGGTAAGTCTATCAAATCAAACCCACAAAACTGCCTCTTCAACTGGACTACTGTCCAATTACCGAAGGACCTTTCAATCACAAAGATTAACTCAAAAGCAATTGTCAATGCTTGGAGAGGCCCAAAGATCTTTTAACTCTTAAGCAAGACTTCCATTTCCCAATGTGGGATATAGTTTTAATGAAACAAATAAGTTTAGAAAGAGGAGAGAGTCCCTAAAGTAAAATGTACGTACAGAATCACCACCCTTGGATGGAGGACGAAATTTGATTGGTGGCACAAGTACAGTCTCTAAGAAAAACATAGAGTGACCTGCTTTTCTTCCAATTCCTTGGCATTGGATATCACCAATAAAAGAGCAGAACTCAGCTTCATTGTCCCACAAAAGCTTTATGATGTCTTGAACCTGAAAGAAATGAGCGATTGTAAAGCTCTTCCTTCCTAATAAAAATAAGTTTTATTTTGAATGTCCACATAGCATAGACTTTGATCAATGATAGTAATTATAGGCTAACCTCGCTCATATATCATATCATAATGTTATTGTCATGCCAACACTGGCATGGAACATACCTGTTTTGGTAATAGATCTCCCGACAAGGAAGTTGTCTGATTAAGGAACTCACTTGGCACTTTGCTTCCTTCTCCATTGTGCTTTTCCATATCATTATTGTCAACATTTTCATTCTCATCCCCTTCATCTTGATCAGTTAAGGGTCCCACCAGGTTGCACCCTCTGATAACATTTTCTCTCGCATTTTCAGCGCCACTCTAAATCACCAACCCATAAAGGAGAAAGCTAGTTATAAATACAATATAAGGCTCAGAAATGTGTAAATTATAATATATATTATAGGCCCGTCCATGTGTTTAAAGACAGAGATAAATAGATTTGTAATTTGGTAGATATCATCTTAGTTCAAAAAAAATATATATATATAGCAAAGGATAACTAAAAAGTACTCAATACCTGATGAAAAGAAAACAAAGGAAAATAAACAAGAAGCATAATAACAATACAATCTTGTTTTCTTTTTCTTTTCTTTTTTTTTTTTTTTATAAAAAGTCAAAATTCATTAAAAAGAGAGAGAATGAACAACAGAGGGGGGAGGGTGCACCCCAGACCCAGCTAAAGAAACAACAAAACAGAACCCAACAGAAAAAAAAAAAAAAAAAAAAAAAAACAAAAGGACAAAACTAATTAACAACAGCATCCCTATTAGAATAAATAAATAGCACCAGTCCTTAATATTTAAAGACACTGAAGCCTGTGAAGAATCCCAAAAATACACTCCCATTAAAAATCCACATCTTCCAACTTAGGCCTTTATGAAATCTCCTATTTCACTCCATCCAAACAACCCAAAGCAATTTCAGTACATCACACTGACCTAGCACCAAGCTCCCTTTCCTTTCTCCAAAAGACATAGGCTTCTCCAAAGTAATGGAGCACAAGATTCAGGGATTCCCCAGCTTAACCTTGTCTCCCTAAACAGCCTTGTCCATAAAGCATACACAACTGGACAATGGAGCATAAATTACCAATAGAACCCAAGAACCAAGAACAAGAGAACAGTCAAAAGACAGAATTGCTTTCATACACTGAAAGGTCCCTTTCTCTTTCCACACCTTTTGCTCTTCTTTTTAACATTTTGTTATTATTACATGAAAATTTTAACTTAGGACATCAGGGGCCCTCTACCGTCACCCAATCAATCCCATGCCACATGTGGTAACGATAATGGGCAAGATACTAGTGATATGACATTTCTAGTGCAAGTGTACCTTTCTCCCTTTATTTTAAGATATATACTAGTGACTTATTTGTATAGGAAACACAAACTTTTTTTCAAATAGAATAAAAAACACATGAAATCAATGCATCTCTGGTTAAACATAAAAACTAGAAAACTATAAGAAATTATTACAACTGCATCCCTCCAGCAAAAGATAAGTGAAATTAAAGGGAGTATCAAAAGACTCTGGTGTTGAACCCATAAAGACGCCAAAATATCTACTCTTTCCATAGAAAACTCACTTCCTCCACCTTATCTTGAACAATTCTACTATTATCATCATCCAAACAAACAAAACAGTACATCTCCATCATAGCGGCAGCAACTCCCATAAAAACATTAACCAATAAAGAATATAAATTTGAGGCAAAACAGTAGTCCAAAGAGTTGCACGCCTCACAGCAACCTTACCAAAATTTTAAGAACTGAAAAGGCAATGCAAAAAAAAAACCAAATAAATAAACCATCTATAACCGTCGGCATCAAATGAAACATGGATGAGGAGAGGAAGGTGTGTGGTTTCCTGGCTTGGAGTATCTCATAAGTATGATTGTTCTAATGGATTGCCAAATATACAAAAATCTAGAGTTTTAAGGGACACCAAACTTCCTAATCATATTTTGGTTAAGAAACCTTCAAGGAATTGCCAAACCTACAAATATCTTCAGTTTAGAAGGTACACCAACCCTAATCCTCTTAGAGGGCTTGAAACCAAGCCACCTAGATTAGCTTTAACTGCCCACTTTACAAAGAAATTGACATAGATCGAACTTATCCCAGGCTTAGTATCCCTGGATAGACCCTATAAAAGAAGACGAGTCTTAAGGGCAAATATCTTTTCTAACACCAAGTGAGCTGAAAATGTGAATTACAAGAAAATAAAAGAAAAAAGGAAACTCTAAAAGCACAAATACATGTTTGATGAGCCTAACTAGATTCAGCAATACATTATTAATCCAAAACTACCCAAGCCGAGATCTGGAAATCCCATGCTGTTCAAATTCTACCTATATTAAGAGATCAGGGGGCAAAGGAGTAATGGAAAATACTAGAATTATAGATAATGAGTAAGGAAAAGAACGCAAATATCATTCACCATACCAAACTTCTTCCAAAACCCTACCCTACCACAAAACAGCTGAAAAAATGAATAATAACCTAAAAGATATATTTCCAAGGACATTGATGCCTATGAATAAGACTATAAACCTAAATTTGCAAATCCATCTTCTCAAATCAGCATAGACTTAGTTGACAGAAGTTTATCTTATGTTGAATAGGGTAGACCAAGAGCATAATTTACTATAAGCCAAAGTTTTTGTTCCACTTTCCACTCCGTCAGTATTGACAATTTTGTGTGTTGAGAAAAGTTCAAAAGGCAATCATCAAAATTTGGAAAAATGACTGATAAGACTCGCAAACAAAAATTATAAGTAAATTATTCATATACCACTTTTCCACCATAAGCTTAAAAGTTGATAAAAAAAACAAGCATGCTTCTCCTTTAAAAACTATTTAAGCAGATACTAACAGATTATACATATCTCCTATAGCAGCTTCAAGCACTAAGCTTGGAAGATCATACCATTTGAAACCATCCAAAAGTAGGTTTGATGATTTTGGGATTCTTCGCCTTGCAATTGTTGCAGTCCTTCCCTTGTTTCGGCAAAGCCTTATCAAAAACAGACATTAGCTCCGTAAACTGAAGAGAAGTCCATCCTTGCTGCTTTGCATGCTTGTCACTGTGACTATCTCCCTCGTTGCAGTCTAAGTATTCACTAGGTGAGTCAGAATCTAACATTTTAGCCCCAACGACGTCACCTTCCATTATGAGTTTTAATTGGGAAACAGCTTTCTCAACCTTAATCAACCAAAAACATCGCAGAAGAGAATGGTAAAAATTAGGGTGGCAATGGTCACAATATAAACTTCTGAATGCAATAAAATTACGGAACGGCACAAAAGACTAAAGCCTCAAGAAACTAATTTATTTTCATCAAAGTTCAGTTACATGTGTTTGGTCTGTCCGAAAATGGTAGCAGAAGAAACACGTTCTTTGTAGAAGTTTGAAAAGAGTATTGAACAGCAAGGGATTATAAACTGGCAACGCAAGGTCAATATGACCACAATGACCCGGGCAATTACGCGACTTCTCACCACATGTTCCGCAACTGCATAAAAAATGAAGAGCTAAATCAATCAACTGTAAGTCAAAACATCAGGAACTCCTTTAACTATGACAACTTCACCAACAAAAATCAACTACTTAAGGCCCGCTTGATAACTATTTTGGCTTTCTAGCTTTTAGATTTTTGTACAGTGACACCAGTAAAGTATATGGGATAAATGAGGAATGAAAAAGAGTAAATGAATGACGGTGGAAGAATTGTTAAAGGAATGTTTATGGAGTGACACATAAAATGAAACCAAAAACCAAAAACTGAAAACAGTTTTATGTTGTTTTCACTTTCAAGTTTTTATTTTCATATAATCTCCTTCATTTCTCCCCCCATTCCTTCTACCGCGTCCTTTCATCCGTCTCCGTTCCTAATTCCCTCTTTATATACTTGGTCAAAAATAAAACTACAAGATAAAACACACTCCCATTTGAATTACATGTTTGCAGAGTATAATCAAAACAATGAAGCTAACAAAACAAATACGAAAATAATGCAAAGAATGGCATTGTGGGTACCTTTCGCCGGGTTTGTCATCAATTGGGCCGAGTGCCTTATCGTATAGCCCACCGGCCACGGGGTTTCCTAATTGAGTAAGGAGAGATGGGTCGGTAACCCTCAGAAAGCTGTGCTGTCGCACCTCCTCGTCAGTTAAGAAAGCAAACTTAATCGCCTCAGTGGACGCCGTCGGAACCTGCAATTAAAGCTCGGATTTTTTAGATAAATTTACTAAAGAATTAAACTTTCCCAATCGACTCAAAGCAAAAACTCCACGACCCACAGATTAAAAATCGAATACAATTCGTATACAGACATATTCTAGAGAGAGAAAAAGAGGAGAGAGAGAGAGAGATACCTCTGAGGAAGCCATGGCGACTGCGGCGAAAGTGGGCGGCAGAGGAAGAAGAGGAGAGAGGAACGTTTGATTTTAGAGAGAGAGAAAGAGAGGGTTTAAGAGAGGGTTTTGCCGTTTCCTACTTTCCTTTATGATTAGGGGTTTTTTCCTTTTCTTTTGCTGGACCGGACCCCTGTTAGGGTGTGCACGGTCCGGTTTAGATGGACATAGAAGGACACGGTCCGATGTATGCGGACTTCGACAAATAATTATAAAACGGATCGGTTCGATTTTAACTAAGACATCAGACAATCGCGGTTTGGTTTGGCCGGTATGGACATATGTCAAATTTCAAATCCTTTTCCTTGTGCATTTTTACACTATACATAGAGCCGAGATCTTCAAGAAATGGATCTTCATCAAATTCAGTCTCTATGATTATACAAATTCAAGTGATTCTTCAATAATTGTATCTCACCATAATCTCAAGCTTTCTTCAAAGCAAACTGTTTGGGCCCAAAATATTAGTGTGGGCCGAGTTAGGAGTTGTTCTTACCCCGACAATATGATTCTAGAATCATCATGAATTCTAGTTATTATGGGCCGTTCGGTTAAGATTGGATGAGTCCTAGTATGAGAAGGATTAATCTGGGTAGGAGCGAATGAGTCGAATCCTAGTAATATAAGGAGTCTCAATGGAATGAGGATGTTGAGGTTTGAGAAGTGAATGTAGTCGAATAAAGATGTTGGTTCAAAGTCCTAATGGAGGAAGGATTGGCCGAGATCTGTTTAGATTAGGATGAGGAATCCTAACCCAAGTATAGTTCTGGTTCGGTCATGACAAGGTTGGCTGCTATAAATAAGATGGGGGTGCATCATTCGAAGCCCTCCAATTCAACACACAAACTGCCATGTGCAACTCTCGCTCTACACGAAACCTCTCAACAACCTTGAGATTTTTGTTTTCTTTTTCTGCCAACACATCTTCAGTTTGGATAAAGAGCACTGTGAAGGCAACCGGTGACATCTTCAGTTTGGATAAACAACACTATTGCCGTAGAATCAGCCGACCCTAGAGCACCTTCAGTTTGGATAAACAGCACTGCGTCGAGACCGACTGATTACCTATACAAGTCTCGGTCGAGAAGGATTTTCGAATCCTTATTGGTAGAGGTCATCTCATTAGCCTTTTCGACGAAATGGGGTGTTACAGATTACTGGGCTCGGCACATTGAACGCCGAGTTTGTTTTATGATTGGGTATTCACAAGTAAGTTTTAGAGTTCGGCATTCTAATGGCCGAACCACATTCACCATCAAGACATACATCTCTTTTGAGTATTCGTGTCCATATAGCTTGGTACCGATTCAATGTGTTAACACTCTTACGAATATAATTACTGTAACTGAACCCAGCGTCGACGATCCGTGAACTTTGCAAGAGTAACAGCCTTGTCTTCAGGCTCTAAAACCTGAAGGCTGAGACGTGTTCCTTCCTCGACCACAGCCACAAGATCAAGAAGTCAACAGCGTACTCAACACAACATCAACACATTTTACTCCTCGCCCGAGCTCGGCTGACGAGTTGGCACGCCCGCATCAACCAAATGACGTAATTAGCTCATTAGTTACTTGGCATGCACACCACGTAGGCTTTGTAGTTTTTAGGGTCAACACAAACACAACTCACAATCCCTCAGACCTAAAACATTTATGGTTCTGCTACCACGTAGCATGAATTGGTTGATAAACATTTCAGCCAACCGCAATCGCCTCCTTGAGATAATGTTTCTCATTCAGTCTAATGTATCATAAGTGACGTCAATAGACTCTCTAGCATTAATCTTCCTTCTATGGCCTAACTTTTGTTGGAGATAACTGCTTTCTTTACATTTTGAAGTCTCTTTACTTTTCAGTTATGTAGATTGAGTCATCAACCACGAATCTCTTTTGTGAACAATTATAATCCTGATTCCATCATAAAATGGTTAAATTCAGTTCTTGTGTTTTTATTATTATTGTATTTTCATTTACAACTTAGGCAACATATTTCACACTAGATTTTAAGTAGTGTCTTATTTGGTATACAATCATTTTTTGTTAAGAAGTTAGATCTACGTGCTAAATTAACACAAATCTAAACACAATATGTCTATTGGTGACCGAAAGCAACACTTAGAACAAATCACACGTTGAAGCTAGTTAGGCTCTATTCGAGCTTTGACACCAACAAACTTGAAGTTCAAAATCATGAGATTTTAGTCATTAAACATGTCCAGGGGCACGTTCCCTTTTTTTATATTGGATGTTACAAATATTTCATAATTCCTGTTCTTGTTTTTGTCATCATATCTTAGTTCTTTATTTTTCTTCCAACTATGTCCTAATTTTTTATGAGTTTCAAATGTTTTGCTTATTGTGGATGTTACAAATATTTCATAATTCCTCTTCTTCTTTTTGTCATCATGTCTTAATTCTTTATTTTTCTTCCAACTATGTCCTAATTTTTTATGAGTTTCAAATGTTTTGCCAGTATGAATGAGTTTTAGACTTAAATTATTCCTTCAACAAGTAAACAAAAAGAACTAACAACATTTCACATGATACACCTCGACCTCGGATATCAAAGTGGACACAAAATTGAGGCATTCTGGACAACACCTGAAAGGTGATAGAGCCATAATATACAATTAGTGTGTAAAAACTACAAGTAAATTAAAACTAAGGTCTAAAATTAAATTAACTAATAGTGAGAGTGCGCAATTTGGTAATGAACCTTTATTACAATGCATGCAACGTCAAAGCACCAATATGAATGTAGCAAAAAGAAGAATATTTCTATCTTGATTACATAACCAATAGGAAATAAATTTCTTACATTGTCATAAGTGCATGTCAAAATCTACCAATGATTCTTGCTTGCCACATAATTCAGTTACGAAGTCCTAAGGCGCACAAAACAGAAAAGTGTGAAAAACAAAGATTTATTAAAATCTTTACTTTTAGTAACATAAACCCCTCGTTGTAATACTTGTATAGTTTCTAAAATCATACTACATATAAGTATGAAAATCATAGTAATAGTATAAAAGAAGTTATGTTAAGGATACGAGTGAATCACAAATATCTCAACAATATAAAGCAATGTTCTCATAAAAATGCATACACAAGTCAATGCATAAAGTAGCTACATGAATAACTAGTGTAATGATCTACGCTTGAGTACTACATGCACGTGAAGCTAGCTCTAAGCACTTCATATACGATCCTAGATGCAAAAGTAACTAGTATAGGCTGGCACCTACAATGGATCCAATGTAATTAAGTGTAACAGTGCAAGGTGAATATACAAGCTAGCTAGTCCTGGCTTAGATGAGTACTATAGACTTTAAGGTAAGCATGCATGATGAGCAACTAAAATGTGTATAGACATGCCACCAATAATTTCATAAATCTCATAAATCAACGTCATCATCAATGCTTCTAAGTAAAAGCATGGCATGATGTAAAAAATTCCATAAAAGTAGTTATGGAAACTATATAAATATAGTATAGATTAGAAAACAAAGCTGACTCAATATTAAGTCATGGGGTTGTAGCCGTCTTGCCTTGCCTGGCCTCTAAAATCCTTCGGATAAGTCTCTATTAATATGTGAAATTAGTGGTAAGCACGGGCCTGGCTGAGCCCAAAACTAAAGCAACCGGACCAGGCCCATTTGTAAGTGAAATAGGGCAATGTGGATCGTGTTATCTTAGAAATGGACCAGGACCTAACCTGACCCATTTCAAGTAGGACGGTTCCTACGGGCTACAGGTTTTTTTTTTCTGTAGTTTTTTCATCTTTACTATTTTGCTTCTTCTTCACTTCTCTTTGTGGTTCTGCTTCGTCAATTCTGACTACGATCCTAGAAAAGCGAAATCAAATATATTTGAAAAACTAGATAAAAAAAAATCAAAACTGAATCACTCAATTGAAAATCAAAATCGAAACCCTAAAAGAGGGAGCACATTAATGCTTACTAATTGGGACGATTTGGTTGGTTAACTACAAAAAAAAGCTTAGGGTTTGGGAGTGAATCTGACCTACACAGACTAGAGACTCAAGCTCCTTATGGTGGAGTAATCTTTTATGGTAGTCGACAATAGTTATGCAACATCGTTGGGCATCCTCCGTTGGAAATAAAACTTTTTTTGTTCCGAATTCACGCAAAATTTTTTACTACTCCACCATATCGATCGGCATAAACAGAAACTAAAAAAAAAAAAAAAATATATATATATATATATATATATTATTGGATTATATTGATGTATGGATAAGATAAAACACATTTTTCTCAACTTTTCTAGGATTAATAAAGGCACCCCTCGAACAAACAATTTCAACCATTTCCAAAACAAGATCAAAAGTTTGAAGCTTCACGGAAAAGAATATATCATTCGGAAGAAACCCAGTTCGAGAAAAGTTGAATCTTGAACTAGGTTTTTCAATTTGGAGCAGAAAGTTTAGGAATCATATTCAATTTTTCAAGAAACAACAATGATCTTTTTTCTGGGTTGTTGTCATTTTCTGTAAATTTGTATCATAAAGTGAATGATAGTGGAAGAAGAGGTTCTAAATCGCTTCGGCCATATTGCAGATGAAAAAGAGTTGAAAAAGGATGTTGTGAAGCTCTATGCACTCCAATTTAATGGTTTAGAATGTTGTGCATGGAATGCATTGGAGTTTTGTATTAGGGTGTCAGTCCAGGCGGGGCTTGTTTTCTCAGTTATTTATACATGTCCCTAATTTTACGATTTTATTAATTTTAAATAAGTGAATTGACGAAAATGCCCCTAGAGGCGAGGGTGTTGACTTCCATTGACTAGCGTATTGCAAGACATGAAATATTCTTTTAGCATACCCTTGTAGAACTCATCACTACGAACACGTGGGCGCAATTGACACACCCCGACCCAGAATGTCCACTTGGACTTCGAATCGAGCTGTGTTGGTCGACACCTAAAAGGTAACGAAGCTATAAAGTATAGTGCAGTGGAATATGTGAATAAATTTAAACCTAAAAGTGCCTAAATATAAGAGTGCGTTGTGAGCGAGAATAAACCCATTTCACACTTTGAAGGTTGCTCATTCCTGAAAATCATCTCCGGCCTTTTGAGTTTTAACTCCATCCACCCAT